ATTGGCGGATTTCACATGTACAGGAAATATGAATATAATGTTAAGTTTACTAAATGTATGCTTTAAAAGAATTGAAAATAAAATAATAAATACATAACTAATTTTAATAAGGATTTATTAATAAAATTATGATACAAAGTCTAACCATTTATTTAATACAAAAATATTTTAATTAACTTATCACCATTGGTATCTATTCTTACCTATTCAGATTTAAAACTTAATATATTATTAAGTTTTAAATATCAATCAATAACTTAGCTTAGCTTTAGCTTAACATAATCAAAAACATATTGAATTTTATATCAAATGATAAGTCTATGAAATTAAAAATTAAAAATAATTATATTTAAAAATCTGTTTCTTTTACAATGGAAATAAAAGAAAACGAATTAATTTAAAATAACATGATACTATACTAACTAACTATTGTTGTTGTATTCTGTTTGCAAAATTAAAAACGACATTGGATTGAAATTGACACTGGATCTAAATTGTTATTTGAATCTATTGTTATTGGATTCAAGAGGAAGCTTGCAGTTGCAGCGCTGCAGTACCAACTCCCTGGTATATAATGTATTATCTATGGTACCAACGCCGCATCATGTCGAGTCGGTTGCCTATGGCGTTTCGTTGTTTCATTTCAATATTTATATTATATAACTAGCTGTTCCCCTTGGAATTTATTACGATTGTACTTCATGGGTTTTAATTTTTTTTTGCGTCTATTATGTCCCGGGAGGGATAAATAACTTTAAATAAAACTAATTTTACTGATTTTATCGCGTATATTAACCTATTTTATATTCCCGACGTTTCAAGCACTTTACAGCACCCATGGTCACGGAAGGGACTGATGGCGGCTGTACACGCTCGTCTCGTCAGTTGTGTATCGCTAGCAACGCAAAGTCGGGAATTTGCATTTGGAAAAATCCCAAATTAGTTGCTTTTTAGGTGCTAATTAGGTGCCGAGTTTAAAAATTAGGTGCTCTAAAATTTTCACCGCAACGAACTGTTGAAATTTGCGTTGCCAGCAAAACGTCTCGCTAGCAACGCAATGAAGTTATTAGATATACGATAAATATTAATAGCAAGGAATTAGGTGCTAATTAGGTGCTGCAAGTATACGCAGTAACAAGGCGCCCCTAATAAAAATAAAGTCGTTATTCAGAACATAGCAGATGCAAAATTCAGATTTCCTGAAAATCAAAATAGAGTCAAAATAGCTTTCAGAAAAAGTCCAAATTAGGGGCTTTTTAGGTGCTAATTAAGTACCAAGTTTAAAAATTAGGTGCTCTAAAATTTTCACCGCAACGACCTGTTGAAATTTGCGTTGCTAGCAAAACGTATCGCTCGCTAGCAACGCAATGAAGTTATTAGATATACGATAAATATTAATAGCAAGGAATTAGGTGCTAATTAGGTGCTGCAAGTATACGCAGTAACAAGGCGCCCCTAATAAAAATAAAGTCGTTATTCAGAACATAGCAGATGCAAAATTCAGATTTCCTGAAAATCAAAATAGAATCAAAATAGCTTTCAGAAAAAGTCCAAATTAGGGGCTTTTTAGGTGCTAATTAAGTACCAAGTTTAAAAATTAGGTGCTCTAAAATTTTCACCGCAACGACCTGTTGAAATTTGCGTTGCTAGCAAAACGTATCGCTCGCTAGCAACGCAATGAAGTTATTAGATATACGATAAATATTAATAGCAAGGAATTAAGTGCTAATTAGGTGCTGCAAGTATACGCAGTAACAAGGCGCCCCTAATAAAAATAAAGTCGTTATTCCGAAAATTATTCAGCAAGGCAAATTTTTTTTTATAGGATAAGGGTGACAAACGAGCACACAGTCCACCGGATGGTAAATGGTTGCTGTGGCCCATAGACATCTACATCTATCTTCGATTAAGAACCAAAATGCAGATGCGTTGTCACCCGTAAGGACTAAGATGGAATGTCTCGTTTCCAGTAAAAAGGGTCTCCGGTTCTCTACACTCACCATATGAAACACAGCAGCATTTAGCTGCTATTTTGCGCTGGTATTCTGCGAAAGCGTGGTTCTTCCCCGGTCGAGCTGACCCATTCGTGCTACAACCATAATATAGCTGCAGCATGGCTCTACCACGTAAAAAATTAGGTCTTTGTGTTTGTGCCATCTAGCGTCTATAGTACTTACCACCTTGAGAGTCCATCGATTTTGATTTTTGATTTGATAAAATGACTAGAACTATAGAACGTTGTAGATGGCGCTATTTATTACAAAGCAATTTACTGGAAAGAAAATATCCTTTCGAGTACACTAAAGTTTAGGCTTCAGATGTCTAAAAATAAGAATTGTAACATTTATTTGGTTAAAAATTATATTAAATAATATTATAATTTAATATAATTTTCAACCAATTTTCAACCATTTTCAAATATAATCATATTAAATCTGAAAAACAAAAAATGCCGTTCATACCTTATAGTAAGGTAATGGTGGTTTATAAATCCGTTAATTTCCAGAATATTACCGTCATCTAAATGCGACCTCAATAATCTTTCAGCACCTAATTAGCACTTAATTCCTTGCTATTAATATTTATCGTATATCTAATAACTTCATTGCGTTGCTAGCGAGCGATACGTTTTGCTAGCAACGCAAATTTCAACAGGTCGTTGCGGTGAAAATTTTAGAGCACCTAATTTTTAAACTTGGTACTTAATTAGCACCTAAAAAGCCCCTAATTTGGACTTTTTCTGAAAGCTATTTTGATTCTATTTTGATTTTCAGGAAATCTGAATTTTGCATCTGCTATGTTCTGAATAACGACTTTATTTTTATTAGGGGCGCCTTGTTACTGCGTATACTTGCAGCACCTAATTAGCACCTAATTCCTTGCTATTAATATTTATCGTATATCTAATAACTTCATTGCGTTGCTAGCGAGCGATACGTTTTGCTAGCAACGCAAATTTCAACAGGTCGTTGCGGTGAAAATTTTAGAGCACCTAATTTTTAAACTTGGTACTTAATTAGCACCTAAAAAGCCCCTAATTTGGACTTTTTCTGAAAGCTATTTTGATTCTATTTTGATTTTCAGGAAATCTGAATTTTGCATCTGCTATGTTCTGAATAACGACTTTATTTTTATTAGGGGCGCCTTGTTACTGCGTATACTTGCAGCACCTAATTAGCACCTAATTCCTTGCTATTAATATTTATCGTATATCTAATAACTTCATTGCGTTGCTAGCGAGACGTTTTGCTGGCAACGCAAATTTCAACAGTTCGTTGCGGTGAAAATTTTAGAGCACCTAATTTTTAAACTCGGCACCTAATTAGCACCTAAAAAGCCCCTAATTTGGGATTTTTCCAAATGCAAATTCCCGACTTTGCGTTGCTAGCGATACACAACTCGTCTCGTCGCCTCGCGTGCCTCTCGTCGCGTAGAGGTTCGACACGAGAGCACACCATGTACACACTCGTTGTATCACTTGGACTCCGGATGCCCACTGCGATGGACGTAGAAGAAACTGTTGCTGTGTTTTGCCTTTGCTATTTTTTATTATAATTTTTTACATATTTCCAATAAAAAGAAAATTAATAAGCCATGGTTGATGGTTTCTATTCACTGCAATAGAACCATGTAAGTTCCTATATTGTATTTGACAATATTGAACCAGTTTTTTTGGATAATTTTTATAATTATCTGAAAACGAACGAGTGTGTACAGGCGCGCTCTCGTTTTCATCGCGAGACTCACGAGACCCTTTGAGTTTGACTCGAGCGCAAAAAACCGACATGCTTCCGAGAGCGAACGATGACCGCGAGACGCGACGCGACGCGACGAGGGCACCATGTACACACTCGTACTCGGCCTGTCTCGTGGTGTCTCGACGAGCGTGTACAGCCGCCATGAGGTGTATGACGTCCCAATGACATAGTTAACCACGGCTACCTCCAGATTAAAAATTATTAATTTTTGTTCCGATCTACGCAGTATGAACTTACAGTATCTTGAAGTCTTGCAGTTGTATGCTTGAATTGGGATTTAACTTTATTAATTATGGGATCCCAAGCAGATGGTAGCACCCAGCCATCTTCTCTATTGAAATTAGGATGTTTTTTGATTTCAATAGCCTCGCGAATCATCCTTGGAAGGAATCGGCGGGGAAAAGCTGTCCCCCATGCTATACGCATCACAATCGAGCATTGCGTTTGCCGCTAAAAACTCACTGCACATTAAATAACTGAATTTATTTATAACAGGAATGTGCTACTAATCCTACATCTGGGACAAACTAAAGAGCTTTACTGAATCGTTGCGACACCAATTTTCGACAACTTTTAGCTGTGGCGACGTATATTTCATGACACGCGTGTCGCCTTTTTTATGCTTTTTTTCAATATAAAAGTTACAGCTTTATATTGTTTATAAATACTCTTAAAGTTACAGCCCGAATTCGCGGCTTGGTCAGTGCTCACATATATAAGTTTGTGTTATATACTACATATTAACTGATATTGTTATCACACTTCGCACCTGTGTTGTGTGTACATAGTACATACGGTTGGAATTAACTTCTATGACATAAAGACTAAAAAAAGTTATTAAGAACTTGTAAATATGATTACAGTTCTTCTAAATTAAATGTTAGGCATCCACTCATTTATATTGTCTTAGTCCTCAGACGTGAACCACTTACAATTAGGTGGTCTGTTTGCTCATTTGTCACCCTTATTCTATAAAATAAACATACGTTACTGCCTGGAAATGTGACGCCATTTGCAATACCCACAGATATAAGCCCTAAGAAGTATTAATGAGAAGGAAGGGCAATGAAAGACAGTAGTAAATTACTTAATTTATTTATTTATTTAATTAGCAGGAGATGATCATCAACTGTTTACAGTTTTAAATTATCAGTCTTATATTTTTAATACGAAAGTACCTATGCCTATATATACACAAATATTTACATTTTACAATTTAAATAGGAATCTTTGACTACACAATTAATCCATTTCCTCCACCGTAGGGCCATTACGCTGGCTACCAGGCATACCTCCAGGCATACCAAAAGGCATACCACCAGGCATACCAAAAGGCATACCTCCGGGCATACCTCCGGGCATACCTCCGGGCATACCTCCGGGCATACCTCCGGGCATACCTCCGGGCATACCTCCGGGCATACCTCCGGGCATACCTCCGGGCATACCCCCGGGCATACCTCTAGGCATACCTCCGGGCATTCCCCCGGGCATACCTCCGGGCATACCTCCGGGCATACCTCCGGGCATACCTCCGGGCATGCCTCCGGGCATGCCTCCGGGCATGCCTCCGGGCATGCCTCCGGGCATGCCTCCGGGCATGCCTCCGGGCATGCCTCCGGGCATGCCTCCGGGCATGCCTCCGGGCATGCCTCCGGGCATGCCTCCGGGCATTCCACCAGGCATATCACCACCCGCACCTGCACCGTGCATCTTGCTCATGATGGGCGAGCACACTCGCTGCAGCTCCTTCAGCCTGTGTTCGTACTCCTCCCGGTCTGCGAGGGTGTTGTTGTCCAGCCACTTGAGTGCATCGTCACACTCCCGGCGCGCCGTGCTCTTGTCAGACTCGCTCAGCTTGTCTCCCGCGTCGTCTAGCGCCTGCTTCACGCTGAATACGTACGTCTCCAACTGGTTGCGGGCGGCGACCCTCTGCCGCTGCTTCTCGTCCTCTTCTTTGTAGCGCTCGGCTTCCGACAACATGCGGTCGATTTCGCCCTGCGACAGCCGTCCCTTGTCGTTCTTGATCACGATGTTCTTGCTGCGACCCGTGCTGTTTTCTTTAGCAGAGACGTTCAGGATACCGTTAGCGTCCATATCGAAAGTGACGTCGATCTTGGGGACGCCGCGCGGTGCTGGCGGAATGCCGGTCAAGTCGAACGTACCCAGCAGGTTGTTGTCCTTGGTCATCGCACGTTCGCCTTCATAGACTTGGATAGTAACTGCTGGCTGGTTGTCTGAATATGTGGTGAAGGTTTGCGACTGTTTGCAAGGAATCTTGCAGTTTCTTTCAATGATTTTTGTCATTACGCCTCCAGCCGTCTCGATACCGAGAGACAAAGGAGCTACGTCCACCAGCAATACATCCTGAATCTTCGAATGAGACTCTCCACTGAGGATTGCAGCTTGCACGGCGGCACCATACGCAACTGCTTCGTCTGGATTGATAGATAAGTTCAGTTTCTTACCACAGAAGAAGTTCTGAAGCAAACTTTGCACTTTCGGAATGCGAGTGGAACCGCCTACAAGCACGACATCATGGATCTGGCTCTTGTCCAATTTTGCGTCCTTAAGCGCCTTTTCCACTGGCGCCAAGGTGTTTCTGAACAAATCTGCGTTGAGCTCCTCGAAGCGAGCGCGGGAGACGCGCGTATAGAAGTCGATGCCTTCATAGAGCGCGTCGATCTCAATGGTGGCCTCGGTGCTAGACGACAGCGTGCGCTTGGCGCGCTCGGCGGCGGTGCGGAGGCGACGCATGGCGCGCGGGTTCGAACGCAGGTCCTTCTTGTACTTGCGCTTGAACTCTTCCGCGAGATGGTTCACGAGTCTGTTGTCGAAGTCCTCGCCTCCCAGGTGCGTGTCGCCGGCCGTCGCCTTCACTTCGAACAGAGAGCCCTCGTCGATAGTCAGGATCGACACGTCGAAAGTACCACCGCCGAGATCGAAGATCAACACGTTGCGCTCCCCTTTCAAGTTCTTGTCCAAGCCGTAAGCCAGAGCAGCAGCCGTGGGCTCGTTGATGATGCGCAACACATTCAGCCCGGCGATGGCGCCCGCGTCCTTCGTGGCCTGACGCTGAGAGTCATTGAAGTACGCCGGCACGGTGATGACGGCGTCCCGCACCGTGGTGCCGAGGTACGCCTCCGCCGTCTCCTTCATCTTCGTCAACACCATGCTGCTGATCTCCTCCGGCGCAAACGTCTTCGTTTCACCTTTGAACTCTACTTGAATTTTGGGCTTCCCGCAGTCGTTGACTACTTTGAATGGCCAATGTTTCATGTCTTGTTGGATCTTTGGATCGTCGAATTTGCGCCCGATTAACCTTTTGGCGTCGAACACTGTGTTGCTGGGGTTGAGGGCCACCTGGTTCTTCGCCGCATCGCCGATGAGTCGCTCTGTGTCAGTGAACGCTACGTAGGATGGTGTGGTTCTGTTGCCTTGGTCGTTCGCGATGATCTCCACATTGCCGTGTTGCCACACTCCAACACACGAATATGTCGTTCCTAGATCAATTCCAATGGCTGGCATTTTTTTCTCCTTTTAAATTTAAACTTTTCACTAGTAAATACGTAAACAATATAGTGCTTGTAAATTAACTTCGGTAAACACCAAACTCTTCTCTTCGTCCGTCTTGTATCGTATTTCAAATTATACTGAGTTCCCGCGGCGGCCACCGCACTTTTATATTGTACAAATCACAATCTAGAAAAGTTGAGGAGCTTCAAGAAACATCCAATGAAAACGTTCGCTTTCACGAACGTTCTAGAAACGACGACGACAGCCAATGAAAACCGAGCGTTAAATCAATGTAATGAAATAAGTTAGCTGTGATACCAGACGCAAAAATTTCGCCAACTTTTAAGGACATTATTTTTGTTAGAGACAATTTTAAATACACCGTGCTATTGAAATACGAAGATTCTTTGTTATTTCTGCACTTAAATTAAATCAAGTGAAATATATCTAAGATTTTTTTCCTTTTTACAAACGATATGAGAGACAAATGAGTTAATATTCCAACATGTGGTAAGTCTCTGCTACAGTCGACTCCTTAATTAAAAATTGTAAGCTACATATTACACCTGAGGGCTAAGGTAGTCAAAATCATATATTTTATTCACTCATTACGGTTTATTTTAGTATACAATTATGGTCATTTCAGTTTATTGCAATTAATACGTGCATGCAACTATCTAATAATAAAACTACAAAATAGTTTGATTTGGAAATGGTATAATAAGCAATTTCTAATATTGTGGAAAAGGTATTTGAATTAAATATTCTTTGGTCATTTTATATATTGTTAAATTTTTTTCATAATAATAGCTTATTATAAAAATTACATACAAATCATATAACTTTTTAGCTTTATAGGGTATATTTAAATATAACTTTATGGCAATACTTTAAAATGCTACAAAAAAGAGATCGATGCCAGATATGAAAGAGACAAAACGATTAACGACGTAGTGTACCGTTTGACACAATATAATAAACGTAGCGTAAGTAGGTAGGTACCACGAGTAATATGAATGAGGGCTGTATATCTTCCGCTCACCAGATGTCGCTAGTTGACAATGAAGTAAAGTTGTTTGTTACAGAATGTCATTTAATTGCAAAGTTAATTTTAAATAAAAGTTTAGCAGTTTCTAGAGTAATATATTAATACACAAAGCATTGCGTCAGTGGTTTGCTCTTTAATTTTTTGCACATTTTTAACTCTTTTTTTTTATTTTGTTTACTTTTATGAATATCTGTTGTTAGGCTTATTTATTTTTAATCTAATATTAATCTAATTAATATAAATTACAACAAATAGTAAAGAAAGAAAAATTAACTTCCACGCTATGAAATCTGACAAATATACCTCACATTTAAGTGACGCCGCCCTAGTGGCAAAACAGTAGTTGTATGTTGGTCGAAAATGTAGAGTCATAGCACAGATTACTAAATAGTTTACTAAAGTAAAGTCATAGTCTGTATGACAGCTGCATTATGGCGTTATTTCGCGCTGATATTCAGGGCAAACGTGATCCTTTCTCGGTCAAGCTGATCCATTTTGCTGCAACTATATTACAGTTCCAATGATGCCCTCAACATATACATAACATAATATAAAAAAAAAAAACTTAAACTCCTTGGAGAGTTATTCAAAATGGGTCGTTGACAATATCTCTTTTGTCTTCGACATAATATCTGTAGGGTTGTGGGGTAAGTCCATTCCTCACCTTCTCACGGACCTCATGGATCTAAGTCGGTTGTCACGGAGTCACGCCCTTCAGCAGATGTCACTGTCAGGAATATTTTTACAGGGGGTAGAAAACATACTTTGAGTATAGCTGATTGTAATTGTACTTGCGACTATTCAAATTTATGTTTAGGCACAGAATAAATAAAAGTACCTTCGTAGTTTAGTTTTGAAAGACGTTTTAATACGTATTAGTGAAATTATTTTGTTAATTTCTTTAATTCTGCATATCGACTCCATTTTGTAAAGTTTACTTTGGTTTTATTTTTTAAAGTAGTTGTTATGCTACCACTATGTTTTAATGCGTTTTGATGTATGTAAATAAAACTATGAGCAGCACCGAGTCACTCAGGATCAATGAGGGCATCCACGACTTTTCTGCCACCAGGGCGGCGCCACTAGAAAGTAAGGTATAATATTTGACAGATTTCATAGCGGGAAAGTTAATTTGTTCGGAAAATGTAAAAGTTATTGTTTCTTTCTGTACTTTTAGCTATATTTTATATTAATAACATTAAGAGTAAATAAACCAAACCACAAATATAAATAAAAGTAGAAAAATTTAAAAAAAAATTAAAAATGTGCAAAAAATTAAATAGCAAAACACTGACGCTTTGTTTTGTGTATTAATATCTCTCCCTAGAATCTGATAAACTTTTATTAAAAAGCAACTTCTCAATTAAATTATATTGTGTAACAAAAAAGTTTACCTCAGTGTCAACTAGCGACATCTGGTGACCAGAGAATTATTAGTCCTCATTGATGCTAGAATCAGTTCACGCCTGTGTTGGGTGTAATGTACTTTGTCGACATGTGTGTGGATCTTCCTATTAGCCATTAACAATAAAGAAATAAACTTTATACAAAGAAAAGAATATAATATATTTTCTTCAACATAGATTGAAAGTAATACGAGTCATTTACATTCTACTACTGGTTCGAGAAAACCTCTTTCCAAGGAAGAACCAAAAAACCAGGCACATAATTTATAAAAGTTTATAATGAAGTACAATGAATAATATATTAGACTCAACATTTTTTTATAGGATAGGGTGACAAACGAGCACACAGTCCACCTGATGGTAAGTGGTTGCTGTGACCCATAGACATCTACATCTATCCTCAATAAAGAATCAAAATGCAGATGCGTCGTCACCCGTGAGGACTAAGATGAAATGCCTCTTTTCCAGTAAAATGGGTCTCCGGTTCTCTACACTCACCATACGAAACACAGCAGTGTCAAGCTGCCATTTTACGCTGGTATTCTGTGAGAGCGTGATTCCTTTCCGGTCGATTCGACCCATTCGTGCTACAACTATACTACCTACTAATATAGCGTTCATCTCATTCCCAGGAGTTGTCAGACATGTATTCTTTAATAATAATTAATGAACTTTTTGATAGACAACACCTGCGTACTTTCCGGGACATGAGAGTTCTTTAAAAATTTTGTCTAAGATACTCCGTCGGATTTAGATTACAAATATCTTCTTATAACAAAGATAGTTTAGAGACACCTACTTCAAAACAAAGAGAGTTTCAGTGTCATTCGAAAGTTCGTGGCTAAGATTATAGGTAATTGTTATAGTAAAATATAATACCTTACATATGAAATTGGCGTTTTGTACGAGAGGAATATAATTAAATAAATATTTAATTAATCAAAGTATGCACCGTTGTTATCTATACACTTTTGCCATCTCATAGGTAGTTCATTGATCCCTTTACTAAAAAAACCATGGGGGCGAGAATCAATAAACTCTTTGAAGGCGGTTTGGACTGCCGCATCTGAGTAAATTTTTCTTCCATGTAAGTTGTCGAAATTCCGGAAAAAATGGTAATCTGTTGGAGCAAGGTCCAGGGAGTACGATGGATGTCGCAGACATTCCAATTGTAGCTCATCTTAGTGGTTGTTTGTTGTGCAGTGTGTGGTCTTGCGTTGTCGTGAAGTAGCAGTGGCCCAGTGCGATTGACCAGTCTCGGTTGTTTAGTAGCTAGTTCTTCCTTCATGGTCTGCAGTTGCTGACAATAGATATCTGCCGTAATCGTTTGGCCAGATTTTAGAAAGCTGTAGGGAACGACACCGGCGCTAGTCCATCAAACACTCACAAGTAACTTTTTCTGAGTCAATTTTCGTTTAGGGCAGGATTTGGCTGGGTCTCCAGGGTTCAGCCATTGCGACGAGCGCTTCCGATTATCGCACAGTATCCACTTTTCATCACAAGTAATGATTCGATTTAAAATTCCTTCATTATTGTGTCGGTTGAGCAAAGTAACACAGCAGTCGATGCGTGTTTGCAAGTTCGATTCACTCAATTCATGAGGTACCCATCGTTTAAGTTTTTTTTACTTTCCCGATTTGCTTCAAGCGGATTAATACAATTTTATCACTTACCCCGAAGCCTGCAACTATCTCTGAAGTGCTTTGTCATGGAGCCTTTAATTCTTCATTTTCCACTTTGGTCTCCGGCCGTCCACTGGGTTGGTTGTGAAGGTCGAAATTTCCAGAACGAAAACGTTAAAACCAAAAACGTACCGTGCTCTCTTTGCGACACCAACGCCGTACACATCATTAATCCTTCGATCTGTATCTGCAGCACTGGTGCCACGGTAGAACTCGCACTCGTAAATATACCGATATTTCATGTTTTCCATTGTACGGTAATAAGCAACGCCAAAGAAAAAGATAATGAGGAAAAAACAAATGAATGACTGTTTTCAAAACTCAGATGTACCAGCTAAATGAATTTATAAATTTGAATTTGGAATTCTTAACCAAAGAGAAGATATTTCAGATCAAAGTGGTCAGTACGACAAAAAGCTACTTTCATATGTAATAAGGACCTGATATATTAGGTATCCATTAATATATAAATTATATGAACACGTCAACTCGGTATAGGGATATTTTATCATCACACAAATTTCTAAGAGCATGTCAATATTTTTTTAGGACATGGTATATATAAAAAATCTTTTGTTTAATAATCTATTTTATTATATAAAGATTGACAAAAAAAAACATTTCAAATTGTTATGCAGAGAAAAACGCCTGCGTGAAAACTGTACATCATTAAAGTTAAAATTTTTAATTAATAATAAAGTAAAATCCTTAAAAATCTTTTATTAATTATTATTGAGAGTTGACAATCAGTAAAAGCACCCATGATATTAATAACGCATCTGCATAAGTTGGGAACAGAATGGGTTCAGAATGATGTCGTCAATATCCTGTAGAGGAATATTGCCCCAGGTCCTAGTGAGATGCATAAAAATTTGT